AGGGAAAGAAATCTGCCTATGCCTAGCTTCCTTTTCTGTAAAATGAGTTTAACCAAATCCCCCCTACTTTACATTTGCTGGGCTAATTAATGGTTGTAAAGCATTGAGACTCTAGGAGAAAGTGTGCTACTTCCTGCCAAGTGGCCTCATGGATGTCTGTTTGATGCCATAATCATAGATTTTTTTGAAATGTTGGGTAAAACAGAGATATAAAAATATTGCACGTATAAGTGTCTCATGAGACAACAACTCACAGTACAGAGTGTAATTATGAACATTAGTCATTAGAAAAAGGTGTGTGTTCATACCTCATGTTAGCTATCCTGTGAAGACGAAGCAGTGTGTAGTTTTTCAAATTAGCAGATTGAGCTAAAGGTTAAAGGGGAGATGAGTCTTTAACTTAATCTATGGATTCATGAAAAAGCTAGAGCCTGCCTTGTCCACATTTGGATTTTATCCTGCATTAGCAAACACAAGTGAAGAACATACTTTGTTTTCTGTAGTAAAGACAAGACCTCAGGGTTCCCTGTAATTGCTATTGAAGCACAATGATCCTTCCAAAATGAGGAAGATCAGACTGCTGATTCCACCATGCACTCAATAGCTATTCCTATAGTGTGATTGCTGGTGGTGGGGTCTTTGCAAAAATGAGTAAGAGTCGGGAGTAAAACACTAACCAGAACAAAACGACTCCCATAATGTCAAATCCTTTTCATTTTTATTTCACTTAAATTCCCCATGGGGATGGTAAATGAAGGCTGTGGAGGTGAGAAGGGAGTGGGAGAGGCCTTGGAATGTTAAGGAAGGTGAGAAGGAAGCTAGTGTGTCTGCAAGGCTGCAGGGAGAGCATGGATAAAGGGGGAAGCAACAGTGGAAGCAGGAAGAGAAAAGAAAAAACAGCTAACCACGAGGCTGATTCTTCAAACCCTACTTGAGCAGAACACCCGAAAAGGTTGTGAAAACAAGAAGCAGGATTGGGACCCTTACATGCCTTTTGATTTGGAATGGTGCATTTCCTGAAAAGCATGGCTGGTCGCAGATGATCAAGGGGGCAGTTACAAGTGTGCAGATGAGATCAATGTATGCCAGTAGCAGACTGTGATGTTGACATGATGCAGGACACTAGTTCTGTCCATCATGTGCTTCTCCTTAAATTGTTGATTGTGGCCCTCTAGGAAAAGGAGGAAATTATCTGAAATTTCTTTCCCGACAATTTTGAATGTTCGAAATTGATTAAGGAATTTGTTCAGATTCTTCTCTACTGGGGGAGATCTTAGATAACATTGACAAAACCTATTAAATGAGGTCTTGTAACTCTTGGTTAATTAAGAAGCAACAGCCATCATTTGAAGAACTTACTATTTTTAAAATAATCAAGATGGAACATGAAGCAGACAATTACTTCTGTTACAATCCATGTAAAAATGTATTACCCTAGATCTGTCAGTAATTACTTAAGAGGACTATCAAATTTAGATAGACACAAAAGTAAATATATTTTTGTAATAAGAATGTTTTCAGTGCAGTTTATCTCCTCTCTGAAATATGATGATCTCATGAGATATCAGTCTTAGTATCAAAAAAGTGATGCTATATTAATGTTATATTTCCCTTGGTTTATTAGCGTTGCCCAATGCTATTGGTTAAACATGTTTGACATCACAGAAGAGATGAATGTGATGAACAAAATTCACTGATGATGTCACACATCAAATAGTTGTGTTAGCTCAAAAAAGCTTTTAGGAAGATTTGCATTACAAATGTGATAATATTTATTGTAAAATTCCAGCCATACAATTTGCACTGTAAATGTGAAAATTACATAGTATTCATATTAGACTTATTTGGAAGTATATTTGCAATTCTGTTGTCTATACAGAACATGTAATTGTGTATACTATTGAATTTTTAGTGATCTGCAGAAAAAAGTTGACAGGATAATGTTAATTTAAAAATAGCCTCACTACTATGGACTTATGTATATTGACTAATGTAGATATGTAGATAATAAATATTGATTTCATGTTTTTTCTTTCTCAAAAGCTGGAAGTGTTCACTCTCCCTCCACAAGTATGGCATCATCTGCACAATACAGACAGCTTATAAATGATTATGGACCCCCATCGCTAGGCTATACACAAGGGATGCAGGTAAAATTACAATTTTTAATGGTGTTGATGAGGAGGTTTGAGCATTAATGTGAGTTGTGGCATATAGTTTGATGTGACCCTCCATTGCTTTGAAATGAATTACAAGTGTTAGTCAGATTCATCACGTGGCTCTTGGTTTCATATTAGACTAACTGTACTGCTATCCGGGGGTTATAGAATCCTATATAAATCTGGAAGGGACTTTAAGAAGTTGTCTAGTCCATCTTCCCATGCTGAACCAGAGTATTTAATAAGTAATTATGAGTTCTTGACCTCCTCGCTACCAGCGAAACACATGTTTGAAAATAAAGGCATAGATATAAAATGATCAAGGCTTATAATCTGATGGTAAAGGATGAAACAAACAGGACTCTGTTAGTATGACTTTTAAAATATAAAAGATATTTTAAAATATATAATCTAAAAGATATAAAATATAAATATATAATATAAAATACGTTTTAAAATATAAAATATATTTACTATATCTCTAACTCTAAATTAAGATTTACTTCAGAAAAACAATGTCATAAAATGCATGATCCAAACTTGCCTATTGGCTGATATATGAATCTGACTGATCAACTTTTGTGTAGTGGCTTCCATTTAGCAGGGAGAAGAAGGCCTTCTCTTTGTAGATGGACAGCTTTTTTGTACTTTTTTTTTCTTTCTCACTGACTTCCCATCTGTTTTAGCATACTCTGAAAATATTTTTGGTTAGTTTTTGACTAAACTACTACTTAAAATTAAAAAGAATAGCGGGAGTAAGAGAGATGAACTTGAGTGTGCTATTTAATTATCTGAAGTACAGGGATTTGCAATACAGGCAGTCGGATCCGCAGTTACGAACGGAGTTTGCTGCCCGTCTTCCTGGTCTGCTGAAGACCAGCAGACCAGGGAGACCGGAAGAGAAGCCCC